AATGAATCCAAGCCATCATTGATTGGTTATGCAGATGCAGGATATTTGTCGGATCCACACAAAGGTCGATCTGAGACAGACTATTTATTTACAAGTGGAGGTACAACCATATCATGGTGTTCGACAAAACAAACTATGGTTGCTACTTCTTCAAATCATGCAGAGATAATAGTCATTCACGAAGCAAGTCGAGAATGCGTTTGGTTAAGATCTATAACTCAACACATTCAGCAAACATGTGGTCTTTCTTCGAAAGAGAATATTCCAACAATATTGTATGAAGACAATGCTGCATGCATAGCTCAATTGAAAGGAGGATATATCAAAGGAGATAGAACAAAACACATTTCACCGAAATTCTTTTTCACTCATGATCTTCAGAAGAATGGTGAAATAGATATACAACAAGTTCGTTCAAGTGATAATTTGGCTGATCTGTTCACTAAGGCGTTACCAACCTCAATATTTGAAAAACTAATATATAAGATTGGAATGCGTCGTCTTCGAGATATTAAGTGATTTTTCATCAGGGGGAGTAACTACACGCTGCACTTTTTTCCATAACCAAGGTTTTATCCCACTGGGTTTTCCTGGTAAGGTTTTTAATGAGGCAGCAAACAATGCATATTATAAATAACTATGTACATCCCAATATTTTTTTTGTAAGTTTTTAATGAGACACATTATCTTACATGGACATCCAAGGGGGAGTGTTACGAATAGTTTGTACATTGGATACTACTTTGGATGCTACATTGGATGCCCATGTTGTGAATAACTTAAAGATTGAATTTCCTACTTTATGTCCATCATCTTTACTTTTTATGCCTATAAAAGACCATGTAATTGCAATGGAAAAATACACCAAAGTGAAAGAAAAAAACACTTCTTCCTTCTTTCTATCTCTTCTTATTTATATTTTACTGCATTACTTTTATTTTATAACACACGCAACAATTTCTTGTTAACTTCTATTTTTTTTGCCTGTTCTAACAAGAGTGACAATCATATTATTTGTATTATCATTTTCTCTTTTGATGATATGTTATTATACCAATTGACATGACATGTTGAAAGTATAAATATATATTACCCCACCACCTAATGGGCATTCATTTGTCCTTGACTGGTAGTTGCCCTGCTTCTTTCTCTTCATGACAACTTCAATTACAAACTATGGAGACATACGGATCCAATGGAAACTCACCATCTCGAGACTCTTGGCGCTTCCAACCAAAGCCTAAAATCGGAGTTGACGCAAAAGGACGAACTACTTCACCATGCAAAAGGACGATGTTCTCAAGCAATATGTAGATCTTGCAGAGACAATCAAAGAGGTCTCAAGCGAAAGAGACGCGCTTTGCCTCGCAATTCAGAGACTTGAGGATGATTTTCACCTCAGAGAAATAGATTTTCGCAGAGAAACAGAGAGAATTAACACCGAGCTTGAGGTTTCTAGGAAGAGAGTTGAGGAATTATTAGGTGAGAAAAGAGAGCAATCAGAAATTTGTTCGCACAATTTGGAGATCGTGCAATCAGCGAAGCATGGCTTACTGAGATTGGTTAAGAATTTCAATTCACGTGTGTATATAACGGAAAACTCTGATCAGTTAAAGTGCGAAAAAACAAAGCCATTAAATGAAGAGAAGGCTGTTTTTTCTGTGGAGCTGAAGAAGGTTCTAGAGCTGGTGAATTTGGTAGAGGAAAAATGGGGAGAGTATGAGGAAATGAGGAGAAAGGAGAGGAGAGAATTAGAGAACAGTGTGGCGAGTTTAGCGGAGGAGAATGGAGATATTAATAGCTTGCTTAGAATTGCTTTGGTGGAGAAGGAAGCAGCGGAGAAGAGTTTGAACAGATTAAGGGGAAATACTGAACAGAAGAGAGCTGCAATTTTGCAGATAGCAGAGAGAGGGTTGCAAAAGGTTGGGTTTGGGTTTATGATGGGAAGTGCAACCAGTGAAGCATCTTCAGATAATTTGGATTCTGATACCAGCGTTAAGTCAGATAACGATGAATGCCAAATAGAAGCTGTTAGTCTGGTAACATTTTTGGCTCAGAGCATCTATACGTATACAAAAAAAAATAGTGTATGCGCATACACAGGCACACACATATAGTACTTACATATGTTAAAGACCGTGCTAACTTTGAACCATGGCTCTAAATTCTATATTTCGTTCTGCATACTCTAAAAATAGCAAGGTCACCCAACGGTAAAGTTATTCAAATATTGAGATGACAAATTTCAGAATCAATAGTCATACAAATATAAAGATGTATATGTCAATTTGAAAGAGCTTAATAGAGTAGATAAGCTTATATTCCTAGACCTTTGCATATACATAGAGATTTTAGAACAGAAGTTTCCTTACCTTGACAGCAGTATTTTTATAATCTTGAGAGCAAATCACTTGGCATGTTTCTGAGACTGATATAATTTATTCATTGATGCTTACCAGGCCTCAACTGTAGAAACAATAACAAAGAAGTTAAGACTTGAAATCACACAGTTGCAGAGGTCTTTGGAGGAATCTAGGTATTGTGCTGGCAAAATGCAGTTTTTATGTTTATACTTTATATTTAGATGTTATCATGCCCACCTTAAAATTGTTAGGGATATAGTAGATATGCCCTAGGTCCAATATCATATTTGATGATTTGAACATAATTTTGTGAACGTTATTTGATATAAAATATATATGGCATTTGATATTCTTTTATCATTGTTATTAATTGCTTGATTAATTTGATAAGGTCCTTGATTAAATTTTGAGACTTGACATTGTGATGGAGATCATGATAATGAGAGTAAAGTTTTTTTTTTTAATTTAATCTAAATTTGTTCTTGATCGTAGGATTATTAATTTGGACATTAGTAATCCGGTTAGATCAATATTTATGTGATCGTCTTTATGGGATAAAGATTAGTTGATCTCATTAACTAAATTACATAGATAGATGATGCATATAGAGATATGATCATTGAACCGACTCATTGGATAATTCCTAATGATTAGAATTACCATAAACTGTCAATAAGATATTCTCTTGAAGAATGTGATGTAAGATTTTTCTTTGACATGAGATCGTCATAGTAATTGACAAGTTATTTATTGTGCTTTGATACCAGACACCTATGGCCCTAGGGCGATAGTTGAAAAGATATTGGGTACGATTAAATGCTTGTAGAATTAGTGAATGATCAAGATGGAATCTGTCAACTCTAGGTAATGAGTTTAAGCTCCATGTTGTCATGAATTATAAACGAACAAATCAAGACCTTGGCCAGGGCAATTGAATGAAAGAAAAAATGAGTTTCTTAGGTCATTCGATGGTCGATTATATTTGACATGAACACATAGTTGGTCGCC